GAGAGGGAGGAGGGAAGGGACGAGAGGAGTGAGAGAGAGGGAGAGGGAGAGAAGGAGAGAGAGAGAGGAGAGGGAGAGAGGAGAGATGAGAGAGAGAGGGGAGGAGAGGAGAGAGAGAGAGAGAGAGGGAGAGAGGGAGAGGGAGAGGAGGAGAGAGAGTGAGAGAGAGAGAGAGAGAGGAGAGGGAGAGGGAGGGAGAGAGAGAGAGAGAGAGGGAGAGGAGGGAGCAGAGAGAGAGGAGAGAGAGAGAGGGAGAGAGAGGGAGAGGGAGCAGAGAGAGAGGAGAGAGAGAGAGGGAGAGGAGAGAGGGAGAGGAGAGAGAGAGGAGAGAGAGAGGGGGGGAGCAGAGGGAGAGAGAGAGAGAGAGAGAGAGAGAGGGAGAGGGAGCAGAGAGAGAGGAGAGAGAGAGAGGGAGAGGAGAGAGGGAGAGGAGAGAGAGAGGAGAGAGAGAGGGGGGGAGCAGAGAGAGAGAGAGGAGAGAGAGAGAGAGACTTCTCCAGTTTAGAATAATAATGTGAAATGTAAAAGTTAAAACAGCCACACACCTCTGGTCCTCCTGGTCATGTGATGTTCGTGACATGTGACCACTCTGACCAATCAGAGCGGAGCAGGACTGGGACTTCAGTGAGCTGAGTTTGTGGCACTGAAGGATTTAAATCAAACCGATGGATTTGAAAATAAAAAAATTGATGCATGGCTCTGTTTGTGATCGCTGTGTGTGAACGGTTTGATTCTCTGATCTGTGTTGGTGAATCGACAGCTTCGTAAAGTCCTCAAGGATTAACTGTTGATTTAAAAGTGAGTCTGGAGCAGGTTAAGCTTCACTTCCTGAGCTTTTTTCAACTAGAACAATATTTCCCTGAGCGTCCTGCGGGTCCAGTCCGTCACCGTCAGAGAAGAATCCAGAAGCAGCTCCTCTGAGATCACTTCATCTGCTCTGAAGAGTCCAACACGTCAGCCCCTCCCTGATATCCCGCAACCCACCACCAGGGTTCCGACACATAACACACTTTTTTCAGGAAAGTAAACCTCCAGGGGTCCTTTCCATATTTTTACAGAGACTGCATAAGGACCGTTAGAAAAGCATTACCCATTGATTATTAAGCTTGGACCAGTGGGGTCCGGTGTTCGGACCCCACTGGGTGGGTGCACAGACACACACACACTGACACACGCAGACACACACACACACACAAACACACACAGACACACACACAGACACACACACACACAAACACACACACAGACACACACACACTCAGACACACACTCTCGCACACACACACACACACACTTTCTCACACCTACTCTCTCACACGCTCACTCTCTCTCTCACAAACACACTCTCTCTCACACGCTCACTCTCTCACAAACGCTCACTCTCTCACACACACACACACTCTCTCACACACTCTCTCACACACTCTCTCACACGCTCACTCTCTCACACACACACACACTCTCTCACACACTCTCTCAGACACTCTCTCACACACTCTCTCACACGCTCACTCTCTCACACACACACACACTCTCTCACACACTCTCTCTCACACGCTCACTCTCTCACACACACACAAACTCTCGCACACACTCTCTCTCACACACACTCTCACACGCTCACTCTCTCTCACACACACTCTCGCTCAATCACTCCCTCTCACACACACACACACTCTCACACGCTCACTCTCTCACACGCTCACTCTCTCACACACACTCTCTCACACACTCACTCTCTCTCACACGCTCACTCTCTCTCACACGCTCACTCTCTCTCACACGCTCACTCTCTCACATACACACAAACTCTCGCACACACTCTCTCTCACACACACACTCTCACACGCTCACTCTCTCTCACACACTCACTCTCTCTCACACGCTCACTCTCTCTCACACGCTCACTCTCTCTCACACACACACTCTCTCTCACACGCTCACTCTCTCTCACACACACACTCTCTCTCACACACTCACTCTCTCTCACACGCTCACTCTCTCTCACACTCTCTCTCACACACTCACTCTGTCTCACACACTCTCTCTCACACGCTCACTCTCTCACAAACACACACTCTCTCACACGCTCACTCTCTCTCACACGCTCACTCTGTCTCACACACACTCTCTCACACACACACTCTCTCTCACACACACTCTCTCTCACACACACTCTCTCACACACACACTCTCTCACACACACACTCTCTCTCACACACACTCTCTCACACACACACTCTCTCTCACACACACTCTCTCACACACACACTCTCTCACACACAGATTCACTGTCACCTCTCACACATACACACTCACTATCTCACACATACACACTCACTATCTCACTCTCACACACACTCTCTTGTAGACAGTGTGGGGACTCACACACACACACACACTCTCACCTGTCTCACACTCTCTCTCTCACACACACACACACACTCTCTCACACACTCTCTCTCGCACACACATTCTTGTAGACAGTGTGGGGACTCACCGTAGTCTTTCTTGCAGTATTTCTTCATAGTGATCTTCATCTTGCCCTTGGACGTCTTACAGTGAGAGTCACAGTCTGCACACACAGAGAACCATACACACATGTCAAACTCATTCAGGGCCCCGCGGCGACCGGAGGGAGACCAGGCTCCGGAGGTTAGTACAGACAGATGTGTGAATACAATAATTTTGGCCATTATAATGAGAATTTTTTAGGCAATACTTTTGTTTTAGAGGTCAGAAAACTGCTGTGGGTGTAATGTCATTGACTGTTTATAGAAGGACAATGCTAACCCGCTAGCTTAAGCTAAATAGGGAAGTACTCATGGTGAAGTTTGGCTCCAACTCGCTCTAGCTCATATTGCAAGCACCATGTGGGAGGAGGCCCCTGCTGAGGACCAGACTCGCACCCCAGTAGTCTCTGATTTCAGGTACGTGCCCGTGGTAGAAGCCTGCAGCGGCCAGACACAAAAATTACACGCGTATTTTTGCCGCACAAGAAAATGACGCCGTTAAAATGTGTTTTCACCATCGCTGTTAATGCGCTCATAAAAATATTATAATACAATATTAACAATAATTGAAAATTTGTGAATAATTGAATCAATTTCCTGAGTGTGAAAAGCTGTTGGTTTAGCGGTGGGTGGGAACGCGGCTCAGAGCTGAATATGGACAGACTAGATTACCGTCTGCAGTCCCATCCTTTCTTCACCATTATACCTCCCATGAATGAGGTTGCCACGGCGATGACGCGGGGATACAAAAAACCTCCCCTCTCCCAAACACACACAAAAATAAAAGACTTGTGTGAAAAAGGAGGGATGTTGAGATGCAGAGGATACGTGGGCTTTTGGCTCCGAGCAGAACACAGCGAGCCAAGAGCAAATGAAGGCTCTGGATGTTGACTTTTCACTGTGGCTCCGAGAGAGGCTCCGAGAGAGGCTCCGTGCTCCACGTGTGGCTCCGAGAGAGGCTCCGAGAGAGGCTCCGTGCTCCACGTGTGGCTCCGAGAGAGGCTCCGAGAGAGGCTCCGTGCTCCACGTGTGGCTCCGAGAGAGGCTCCGAGAGAGGCTCCGTGCTCCACGTGTGGCTCCGAGAGAGGCTCCGAGAGAGGCTCCGTGCTCCACGTGTGGCTCCGAGAGAGGCTCCGAGAGAGGCTCCGTGCTCCACATGTGGCTCTGAGAGAGGCTCCGTGCTCCACGTGTGGCTCCGAGAGAGGCTCTGAGAGAGGCTCCGAGAGAGGCTCCGCGCTCCACGTGTCGCTCATGGATCTATTATATTAACTGGATAGGGTATTACTAGCTTGTAGCTGAATAACTCATGTGCTCGGGGGATTCTCGTGGTACTGCAGACTGAACCAGACTGAACCAGACTAAATTCACGTGGGCTACCCAGAAAACAGCTCAACCACAGCTGACAGAGAACCTGACAGAGAACCTGACAGAGAACCTGACAGAGAACCTGACAGAGAACCTACAGCTTTCATGAAGATAGTATTTTGTGGGGATGTTAGTGTCCCTTGTCGTCCTGAACTTTTTTTCTTCTTAAATCCTTCGGTTTTGTTTAAATCCACACTTTAGTGCCACAAACTCTGCTCCTCTGGCTCTGGCTCTAACTCCCGCTCTGATGAACTGCTCTGATTGGTCAGAGCCGAGACCCTCTGTGCACGTGCGTGAGACCCGGTGTGAGACCCACACACGCGTGTTTGACGCAATGCATTATGGGAGATCATCCACTGCACAGAACCGGGAGGACCAGACGATGCCCAAATACAGGAGAGTTTCCCAAAGATCTTTGAGAGTTTCCCAAAGATCTTTGAGAGTTTCCCAAAGATCTTTGAGAGTTTCCCATAGATCTTTGAGAGTTTCCCATAGATCTTTGAGAGTTTATCATAGACCTTTGAGAGTTTCCCATAGATCTTTGAGAGTTTCCCATAGATCTTTGAGAGTTTCCCATAGATCTTTGAGAGTTTCCCATAGATCTTTGAGAGTTTCCCATAGATCTTTGAGAGTTTCCCATAGATCTTTGAGAGTTTCCCAGAGATCTTTGAGAGTTTCCCATAGATCTTTGAGAGTTTCCCATAGATCTTTGAGAGTTTCCCATAGATCTTTGAGAGTTTCCCAGAGATCTTTGAGAGTTTCCCATAGATCTTTGAGAGTTTCCCATAGATCTTTGAGAGTTTCCCAGAGATCTTTGAGAGTTTCCCAGAGATCTTTGAGAGTTTCCCATAGATCTTTGAGAGTTTCCCATAGATCTTTGAGAGTTTCCCAGAGATCTTTGAGAGTTTCCCATAGATCTTTGAGAGTTTCTCATAGATCTTTGAGAGTTTCCCATAGATCTTTGAGAGTTTCCCATAGATCTTTGAGAGTTTCCCATAGATCTTTGAGAGTTTCCCATAGATCTTTGAGAGTTTCCCATAGATCTTTGAGAGTTTCCCATAGATCTTTGAGAGTTTCCCATAGATCTTTGAGAGTTTCCCAGAGATCTTTGAGAGTTTCCCAGAGATCTTTGAGAGTTTCCCATAGATCTTTGAGAGTTTCCCAGAGATCTTTGAGAGTTTCCCAGAGATCTTTGAGAGTTTCCCAGAGATCTTTGAGAGTTTCCCAGAGATCTTTGAGAGTTCATTTACCACAAGTTAAATAAAAAACTGAAACTCCATCCTCAAACAATCCTCCCTCTTCACCAACCCCGTCCTCTTCATCCTCTCGCCATAACACCCCTACCCCCAGAAAAAGGAAGAGGACAGATAGCCAGAGGATTTTGGACTTTCTGCAAGCAGAGTCGGACAAGGAACAGAGAAGACACGAGGAGTCAGAGGAGAAGACTTTGCGCTTTTTAAGTCTCTTCGAGAGGATGGTGGAAAAGCTGTAGCCTGCTGCTGTGTGGCTGTTTGGGCAAACATGTCTGTTCATATTGTACATATGACATTTTATTAGTGTTTTTCAAAAAATAAATCTCAGTTAATGTGACTGTGTGTGTGTTGATGTTCACTGTTCTAGGAAGAAATACTGAAACTTAAAGTTAGGATCTTGGGAAAGGATATAAAGAAAAGGTCATCCATTGTTCGTTAAATCATTTTATTGAAAGAATTTACTTTACATTTAAGGGTCTTCATTGAACAATACAGCGAGCCTGTCCCTTATTGCAGTCCCTGCCCTTTCATATTCCTCAGCAGCTTCATGGAGAGGAAGTTCCGGGTCCAGGATGTCTGTTGCATCACTATCAGGATCCAGGACGTCGCCGTTGTCTAGACATACATTGTGCAGAAAGGCACACGATGCTATAACCTGTGGTGCAAATGTAGGCTTGACCTCCAGGGCTCTGAACAGGGTTGACCTCCAGCGAGTCTTCATAATCCCAAATGCTCTCTCCACAATAGAACGGGCTCTTGACAGATGGTAGTTGAATTTCCTTTGGGCCCGGCCGTTCACTGGCTCTCGGTATGGAGTAATAAGGGCGATTGGTCCCTCCAAACAAGGATACCCACCATCTCCCAGAATGAAGTACCCTGTAGGTGGGTACCTTCTTGCAAGGTAAAACGAGCTGTTCTTCAGAATGCGCGTGTCATGCACCGAACCTGGATAGCCCACAAAAATGTCTAGGAATTTTCCTGTGTGATCACAAATAGCTTGCATTTGTATTGAGTAGAAACCCTTGTAATTTAGATAGTCCAGACGATGGAGTGATGGGGGCTTTATGCGAACATGACAACCATCAATGGCTCCAACAGCTTTGTTTAGTAGAGGTGTTCCAGCAAGCTCGGCAAAGCCGTTACTCACTGCATCAATGTCAGCCATCTTTGGAAAACTGATTGCTCGGTGTAGATTGTTCCAAATGAACTGTGCTACCCTATGGACAACCCTGTGGACAGTAGACCTAGGAATACTGAACACTCTGGACACAACACGGTAGGATAGTCCATGGGCAAGCCAGTATACATATATGAGGACCTCATATTCATTGCCCCAACCATGATCTTGCGCTCTCCTCATTACACGTTGCAGCGAATGCATGGCCTGCCTGGACAGTCTGAAGTCAGGTTTTGTGTCCAATTCGACGTCCAACCACAAGCGTAGAATAGGCACAACCACATTGACTTTACAGTACGTTGCTGGACGGTCACTCTGAAAAACAAAGAGCAAAAAAATATATAGCATGAGTGATGGCCTAAGAGCACAAATTCCCCTCATGAAAGCAGTGATGTGACATTAACAATACAAACTATACATGCAAAGGCATTACAGTACTTCATATAATATTTTCCGCAATATAAATAGTTCAATATACTACTGTGACTCAAGATTTCAGCGAAAGGAAAGTAGAACCAGTGTAGCCAATGCTGCACCGCTTTGTTTTTGCGTTTGTGATACACGTGTTTAGTACATACTTAAAACAGCGATGAATACTTCATGGTTAGACGTTTGGACATATAGATGTAACTTTTGATCTTTGTATCGTTTGTAGGTCGTCTTGTTTTAGACACAGTTTTGGTACGATAGTTAGTAATGTTGCAGCCATAGACTGTATATATATGCAGTCGGGCAAAGCCGCGCCATTATGAAAGAAAACAACATACCTGAAACATCCGGGCAAGCGCAACCATACGTCGAAGTCTCATCCTACGTCTGTTGCTTCTCCGTGTACTTTGCGAACGGAGAAAAAGCATCATAGCCCACAAAACAGGCAGAAGCTCCGCTGGACCCGGCATTTTCAAAAGTAACAACAACAGCAGTACTCCGGTCTTACCTCCCCTATGAAGAAATATGTATTACCGCCACCTATTGGACTGGGGTGAAATCCGAAAAACGGACATTGCGTGTGACGTAGTGGACGCTCATTTGCATACAAGGGTGTCCCAATACTTAGGGAGAGTTGAGTGCACCCTCCACTTGCACTCGCACTTGCACTCACACTTGCACTCGCACTTAAGGGCAAGGGGGAGAATTGGGACGGGGCCATAGATCTGAGTGTCGTCTGCATAGTTATGATAGGAAACTTTGTTTCTGCGTATTAACTGACCTAACGGCAGCATGTAGAGATTGAACAGAAGAGGTCCCAGGATCGACCCCTGTGGGACTCCACAGGTCAGGGCCATATGATCTGAGACACAGTTTCCAATCTCCACAAAGTACTTCCTGTCTTCAAGGTAAGACCTAAACCAACTTAGGGCGGTGCCAGCGACGCCAACCCAGTCCTCTAGTCTCTGTAAGAGGATCTCATGGTCGACAGTGTCAAAGGCAGCACTTAGATCTAACAAGATTAGGATTGAGACTTTGCCTGCGTCAGTGTTCAGCCGGATATCATTTGTAACCTTGACGAGAGCAGTCTCAGTGCTGTGGTGGGGTCTAAAGCCGGACTGAAACATATCAAATGAGTTGTTGATTATAAGAAATCTAGTAAGCTGTAGGTAGACAACTTTCTCAAGGACTTTCCCCATAAATGGCAGATTTGAGATGGGACGATAGTTGTTAAGTACCGTAGCATCCAGACTGCTCTTTTTTAGCAGGGGCCTGATGACTGCAGTTTTCAGGGCCTTTGGGAATATTCCAGAATCAAGGGACATGTTTACTATCTGTGTGAGTGAAGGTAACAGACTGCTCAGAACAGACTTTAGAAATATAGTGGGTAGTACATCCAAGCTGCATGTGGAGGAGCTCAAACTGGAGATTATCTCTTGGACAGTTTGATCATCTACAGGTGCAAAGTAAGTTAGCTCAAAGAGCCTTTCTGGCTGTTGGATTGTTATCTGTGGATTGGAGACAATGGCGTTTTTGATGCATTGAACCTTGTCATTGAAAAAATGTGCAAACTCATTACATTTACGTTTGGAAGTTAGCTCTAATGGCATTTGAACAGGGGGGTTTGTTAATCTATTAACTGTTGAAAACAGAACACGCAGATTGTTGCTGCAGCCTTCAATCATTTCAGAAAAATACCTTTCTCTCGTACTACGTAGCACCTGGTTAAACTTGCACAACTTATCCTTGAAGATCTTGTAATCAACCTGGAGGTTGGACTTGCGCCACTTCCGCTCGGCCCTCCGGCACTCTCTCTTTTGTGCCCTGACCGAGTCTGCTTTAGTCCACGGCGCCTTCTGCTTATTGTTCACTATTTTAACCTTCACAGGAGCGATGGTGTCCAGAACTTTCAAAACACTAGAGGTGACAGAGTTAAACAGTTCATCTACAGTAGAATACGATGCATTCTCAAAGTTTATCATTCCCATAAATAGTTCTCTCGTATTTTCATTTATGTGTCTTCTTCGTACAGTTGCAGAGTCCACTGGTGGTTTGTTAGTGAAACACATGTCAAAAAATATACAAAAATGATCCGAAAGCGCAACATCGACCACGTTTACATTATAAATGTTCGCCCCCTTTGTAACTAACAGGTCTAGAGTGTGCCCTTTGCTGTGGGTGGGGCCACTCACGTGCTGAGTGAGACCAAAAGATTCAAGAAGAGAACTCAGCTCTTTACATATATATACTACACACACACACATATATACTACACACACATATATATACTACACACACACACACATATATATACTACACACACACACATATATATACTACACACACACACATATATACTACACACACATATATATACTACACACACACACACATATATATACTACACACACACACATATATATACTACACACACACACATATATACTACACACACATATATATACTACACACACACACACATATATATACTACACACACACATATATATACTACACACACATATATATACTACACACACACACACATATATATACTACACACACACATATATATACTACACACACACACATATATACTACACACACATATATATACTACACACACACACATATATATATACTACACACACATATATATATACTACACACACATATATATACTACACACACACACATATATATACTACACACACATATATATACTACACACACATATATATACTACACACACACACATATATATACTACACACACATATATATACTACACACACACACATATACTACACACACATATACTAGACACACATATATATATACTACACACACACATAAGTGTCTGTGATCCGAGGCAAAAAAGTGTCTTTGTGCGATTTATTAAAGTAATGAAATATATTCATGAGAATTACATAAAACATGAGTCTGTTAAAGCTGCTTCACAGCAGCAGGTAAAGCTCCTGGCCCTGCTGCTACTGCTGCTACTGCTGCTACTGCTGCTACTGCTGCTGCTACTGCTGCTACTGCTACTGCTGCTGCTGCTACTGCTGCTGCTGCTGCTACTGCTGCTGCTGCTGCTGCTACTGCTGCTGCTGCTGCTGCTACTGCTGCTGCTGCTGCTACTGCTGCTACTGCTGCTGCTACTGCTGCTACTGCTTCTGCTGCTGCTGCTACTGCTGCTACTGCTGCTGCTACTGCTACTGCTGCTGCTACTGCTGCTGCTACTGCTACTGCTGCTGCTACTGCTGCTGCTACTGCTACTGCTGCTGCTGCTGCTGCTACTGCTGCTACTGCTGCTGCTGCTACTGCTGCTACTGCTACTGCTGCTGCTGCTGCTGCTACTGCTGCTACTGCTGCTGCTGCTACTGCTGCTACTGCTACTGCTGCTGCTGCTGCTGCTGCTACTGCTGCTGCTGCTGCTACTGCTGCTGCTGCTGCTACTGCTGCTGCTGCTACTGCTGCTGCTGCTACTGCTGCTGCTGCTACTGCTGCTGCTGCTGCTGCTGTGAACCTACTGCTCTCTGTCCCATTGTGTCAGACTTTTTATTTCCCAACAGAAGCAAACTCATTATGGTCACATTATTCTAACTTTTTAATTTTTAATTTTCTGGAAACAGCAGCAAGTTCCAAGTGTTTTACAATTTTTAATTTAATTTCTATGTTGCTGCAGTTCAGTGTTCATGGTTTTACCCAGACCTGCTCCTACACCCGGCCCTAAATCACAACAGCATCATCTCAGAGACTTCACAAAACCATTGAAATCACCACAGATCAGAATCAACAGTTAAAACACAGAAAGAATATAGAACACATGTTGATAAATGTCACACATGTGATAAATGTCATACATGTGATAAATGTCACACATGTGATAAATGTCACACATGTGATAAATGTCACACATGTGATAAATGTCACACATGTGATAAATGTCACACATGTGATAAATGTCACACATGTTGATAAATGTCACACATTTGATAAATGTCACACATGTGATAAATGTCACACATGTGATAAATGTCACACATGTTGATAAATGTCACACATGTGATAAATGTCACACATGTTGATAAATGTCACACATGTTGATAAATGTCACACATGTGATAAATGTCACACATTTGATAAATGTCACACATGTGATAAATGTCACACATGTGATAAATGTCACACGTGACAGGTCCAACTGGGCCTGCACAGACCAGGGCTTCAGCTAGCCATGTTGGTTTGGACTAAAGGCGCGTTCAGACCAAAAGCTTCAAAAAGCTTTTGACGCGCTTCAACTGACGCCGGGATAGTTTTGTCATTTTGGTGCTTGAAGCTTTTGACGCGAGTGACGCGCCTGACGCCGGTGGGAGGAGCTTCTCTGTTCTCTGTAGCCAGGACAGCGGTGGATTTTTCAATGAGCAGCGAGCCTTTATTTGTTATATAAAGCAAAATAACGTTGTTGTAGGGCTTCAACAAAACATGTTCTGGGTTCACCACAGACTTGAGAGGCTGCAGTGTTTGCAGAGTTCCGTCATTTACTCCAGGAGCTGCGTACGGAGGAGTTTCGCTTTCAGCGGTACTTCCGCATGTCACTTTCCCAGTCTGAGTTCTCAAACCCCGGAGCTCGCCTCTCCCCGTCTCGCGCTCGCCTCTCCCTGCCTCTCCCTGCCTCTCCCCGGCTCTCGCTCGCCTCTCCCTGCCTCTCCCTGCCTCTCCCCTACTCTCGCTCGCCTCTCCCTGCCTCTCCCTGCCTCTCCTCGCCTCTCCCCGGCTCTCGCTCGCCTCTCCCTGCCTCTCCCTGCCTCTCCCTGCCTCTCCCTGCCTCTCCCCGGCTCTCGCTCGCCTCTCCCTGCCTCTCCCCGGCTCTCGCTCGCCTCTCCCCGCCTCTCCCTGCCTCTCGCCCGCCCGGAGCTGCCTTGCTCTGAGCCAGACTCATCGTCAGCCTGTTCTTATTTTAAATAAACTACGTTTACTACACAGCATGTGTACAATGATTTTTGTTACTCAGAACGTTACTACTCATACAAATAATATTACTAATAACAATAATGACAATAAAACAGCAGCAGCAGCATGACTTCTCTTCATGACAGAGACAGACCCTCTGCTGCTGCTGCTCCTCGTCTCCTGATTGGTTGAAGCCCGCGTCAAAGCTTCAAAAGCTCAGCTTTGCTCAACTTCGGCGTCAAAGGGATTGTTGTGATACGCGAGCGTTTCGCGCGTCAAAAGCTTCAAGTGAGCGCGTAGTACGCGCGACTCTTGAAGCTTTTGACGCGCGTCAAGTGACGCCGGGGCTCTCGGCTTCACCTGACGCGCTTCACCATTCACTTTCAATGGAAACCTGACGCTTTTGACGCCGAAGTTAAGTCCGGTGTGAACGCCCCTTAAGAACGAGTATTTGCGCATAGACGTCCCCCACAACCACACTCATGTTGAGGGACATGTCAAAAGGCTGCGGTCCTTCTACTGCACACATGCTGCCAAAAGTTATGGATGAATTTAACAATACAAACTATACATGCAAAGGCATTACAGTACTTCATATAATATTTTCCGCAATATAAATAGTTCAATATACTACTGTGACTCAAGATTTCAGCAAAAGGAAAGTAGAACCAGTGTAGCCAATGCTGCACCGCTTTGTTTTTGCGTTTGTGATACACGTGTTTAGTACATACTTAAAACAGCGATGAATACTTCATGGTTAGACGTTTGGACATATAGATGTAACTTTTGATCTTTGTATCGTTTGTAGGTCGTCTTGTTTTAGACACAGTTTTGGTACGATAGTTAGTAATGTTGCAGCCATAGACTGTATATATATGCAGTCGGGCAAAGCCGCGCCATTATGAAAGAAAACAACATACCTGAAACATCCGGGCAAGCGCAACCATACGTCGAAGTCTCATCCTACGTCTGTTGCTTCTCCGTGTACTTTGCGAACGGAGAAAAAGCATCATAGCCCACAAAACAGGCAGAAGCTCCGCTGGACCCGGCATTTTCAAAAGTAACAACAACAGCAGTACTCCGGTCTTACCTCCCCTATGAAGAAATATGTATTACCGCCACCTATTGGACTGGGGTGAAATCCGAAAAACGGACATTGCGTGTGACGTAGTGGACGCTCATTTGCATACAAGGGTGTCCCAATACTTAGGGAGAGTTGAGTGCACCCTCCACTTGCACTCGCACTTGCACTCACACTTGCACTCGCACTTAAGGGCAAGGGGGAGAATTGGGACGGGGCCATAGATCTGAGTGTCGTCTGCATAGTTATGATAGGAAACTTTGTTTCTGCGTATTAACTGACCTAACGGCAGCATGTAGAGATTGAACAGAAGAGGTCCCAGGATCGACCCCTGTGGTACTCCACAGGTCAGGGCCATATGATCTGAGACACAGTTTCCAATCTCCACAAAGTACTTCCTGTCTTCGAGGTAAGACCTAAACCAACTTAGGGCGGTGCCAGCGACGCCAACCCAGTCCTCTAGTCTCTGTAAGAGGATCTCATGGTCGACAGTGTCAAAGGCAGCACTTAGATCTAACAAGATTAGGATTGAGACTTTGCCTGCGTCAGTGTTCAGCCGGATATCATTTGTAACCTTAACAAGAGCAGTCTCAGTGCTGTGGTGGGGTCTAAAGCCGGACTGAAACATATCAAATGAGTTGTTGATTATAAGAAATCTAGTAAGCTGTAGGTAGACAACTTTCTCAAGGACTTTCCCCATAAATGGCAGATTTGAGATGGGACGATAGTTGTTAAGTACAGTGGCATCCAGACTGCTCTTTTTTAGCAGGGGCCTGATGACTGCAGTTTTCAGGGCCTTTGGGAATATTCCAGAATGAAGGGACATGTTTACTATCAATCAATCAATCTTTATTTATAGGGCGCTTTTCCTGCACAGGGCAACACAAAGCGCCTCACAGTCCACACCACACAATGCACAAATCATCACCATTAAAATACTTAGCAGTTTACTACTGCTGCTGCTACTGCTGCTACTGCTGCTGCTACTGCTACTGCTGCTGCTACTGCTGCTACTGCTGCTGCTACTGCTGCTACTGCTGCTGCTACTGCTACTGCTGCTGCTACACACTAAGAAATGGAGGGACTGGAATGGACCTAAAAGGGTACAATGGGTTTGTCGCCCCCACAGTACCCTAGAGAAGAACAAAGTTGTACCTCTCAACATAGGATCAATTATGTACCTTATCGTCTGTACCTATAATAGTACTTTACTGGACCTCAAGCGCCAAATATGTACCTTTATGTACAGGTACAAAAATGTACCCATATAAAAGGATAAATGTTGTACCTCAGCGGGTACAACTGGAGGGATCTGTTCCTTAGGCAAATACAAACCCTTAAATCCAATAAAATATTTATTTTTCAGAAAATAAATGTAATTACATTTCATTCACTTTAGTTTACATGTTAAAATACACAGTAACAAGTTTGGTACAAAATGTTGAACCAAAGAGTTCCAACTATAGAAACTGAACATAAAACAAAGATGTGTTACAGACTGGATTTTTTTAAACAGTCATTTATACAGAACATCTCAATCCAACATATAACTTGTCATCAATAGTGTATGCATCAAGCGACGTATGGTCCTTTTCATCTCCAGGTTTAATCAAAATCCACTCATTGTCTACTTTGACACGATATGCGTGGACATGCTGGTCAAAGGACAATGGATACAACATTTTACTGCAAAGAAGCCACTCGGTATCAATATTAAGTATGTATTTGATTTGTCCGAACACTGGAATTTCTTCCTCGTGTACAAGATCTAGAGTCAACACATCTCTAACAGCATATTTTATATTGTCTACTATCACTTCAGATACACGCTGAAACACTTTCCCTTCCATATTGCTGAAGTTGCAGCTTTGTTTTAATGTAGATTGAAGACAAATGGGAAGTGACAAAATGGGTGTACTGATGCTTCTTCCGGGCACCTTTTCAAAGTCTCCCAAGATATTACAAGGTGAAAAATCAAAACACTGTTTCAGCTGGTGACGAGTGCTCAATGTCATAGTTATGTTTCTGAAATTTCTACAGTTACTCGTCAGACTCTTAAAATACTGGTGTTTCCCTTCGAAACGCATACACCAAAGAGAACGGAGAGGACCATACATTAATAGAAGTCTTGGATAATGTGAAAGGAAATGACATTTAGGTGTCAATACAGCTCCAAAAACTTCTTTCATCTCAGAAAGGAATGTGTGTATTAGCATTTTTAGAAAGGCCATTTCATCTTTCCTCACTTTATCTGCTAAAACAATGTCTGCAATATCTCTGCACAAAAGGAACACATGCCAGTATCTGCTACCAGGAGGAATACGGTGTCCCATTATAAAAGGCAGCAATCGGAAGAGACACCATTTCTGGGCTGCCGTACCTACGATCCCCTTTTTTTTTGATAACCTGTTCTGAAAGCATTATAGGTTTATTGGCCTTGTCATTCTGTCCGAAGCAGAATCTATGAAGTTCTTCATTTAGCTCAGTTATGCTTATATGCTTTTGTTTACATGCTTCCACAATGACATGTTTCATGGTCAGTGGTAAAACACCCTCCAAAAGATCATGCATTATGTCTGGGGGCAGAGACTTTGTCACATCAAAATAATCAAGTGCATCAAATGGGCTTCTGTACTGTACTCCATACAATGCAGCATTTACAACATTTTGCTCGACTGATTGGAGATGATACTCATGAACCTCACTTGTTCGAAGAACATAGCAATCTTCTTGAAACTTGTCATTAATTTCTGAATGGGTTGCCATACAGTAACGACAAATTCGACCAGAGTGAAAACACATGCGAAACCCACCAATCATGTGAGCTGACAGATTATCCCCTGAAAAAGTTGCTAAAGCAGCATAAACTTTACTCTCTCTTCCAGATGCTTTTATAATCACGCCTTGTGTTGAAAGCAGTTTTAAGTCATCAATCATTGGTTTTAATATGACCTCCATACCAAACTGTTTCATGTGAGAGTAGCGAACTAGCATAGCCAAATGAATATGCTTAAGCTGAGATCGGTACTTCCCACTCAGATTCCCAACAGTGTAGTAAAACGCACACAACTTATATTTGGTTCGCTTTGACCCTAAAGGGTTAACAATTTCAAATTCATCTTCATATAAATGAATCCTTAAAGCATTTGGGTGCTCTTTGAAAAAAACATGTTCCTTAAAATATAGAGCATCACGATAGTCTGTCAGTGTGGTTTCATCTTTGACTTCATCCATTTCAGATAATATTTGATCCCAGACATCTTCATGGGAACAGTACTTCTGTAAAACTTTAGATATTGGAACATAAGAATAGGTCCCTATAGTGTTTCCACTGGAGTCTTTCAATGCAAAGTGTGCAGGTGCCGTATAGTCCATCTTGGTCTTGCAGTGCTCTTTAATCATGTAAGGAGACCGAACTGCCTCACAAGCTTTAACAAAGAAATCAGGTGAATTTAAAACTTGCTGAAGCTCAGGGCACTTTGAAATAGCAAACCCGCTTTTTTCAAGATGATAAGAAATAAAGGCATCATAGTTTTCTTTAAAAAAACAAAGGAGAAATTGGACATCATCAGTAATTTCTTGTTGAACTGACAAATGTAAAAGATTCTTCTCTCTGCATTTAAGAACAAATTTAAACAGATTATCTCCAAATTGGTCCATTAATTTATCTAAATTTGGCTCAACAGTTTGAGGATCAGATGCACATAGAGGAATCTCTGCATTTTGTGAGCTTTGTTGCTCTATGCAGGCCTCCTCACTGGGACCCTCTGTGTCAGGAGACCGAACGACAATACTTCTATGCCTCCTATACACATGCCTTCTAAAAGAATGAAACTGGGAAAAACTTGACTGACATTCACTTATACCACATGTGATGCTAAAACCTGGTTCATGGGCATGAACAAGCCCAACATGCTGAATAAACTTAACAAGAGTAAACGTTCTTCGCATGCATTTAGGGCACTGGTATAATGGAGGCATCTATCAAAATTGGTTAATTATTCTGAGCACAGTTATTGGCAATCAGAGTCTTGTCTCCCTCTTCCACAATGCTGACAATGCGCCGCTGAAGAAAGCTCAAAGTGTTTTTCAGGTGAGGTGGGTATGCAATGTTGAACACGAAGTACATACTGTAGGCCGTTATGAAACAGGATGTGGTGAAGGTCCTTGTTTCTTCTCATGAGCAGAGCTGAGTTCGTCTTATTGCCCAGTGAGCGTACGTTGGAGAGAAAAATGCAGAGGAGAGCTGTGCGCGCTCCTCTCCTCCTAAGACGCACGAGCAGGCCTCTGCGCTTTCCCCTTTTACGGGCCCACACTTTTTTGGCTTAGAACATGAACTAAATCAGCCGCAGATGCCAAGATAAACAGGCAATAGGTCCATGGGAACGGTGGGTCGGATGTTCATAAGTTCCTCCACGGGTGTAGGAACAGCCAGATGCACAGTTAAAAAGTAAAAACAAAAGCAAAGAGAGCAGCAAAGAGCCCTGTCGACCGTACGAGGCGCCATCTTGTGTATGGTCATATGACCACATCACCGCAGATTGTGTCATGCACCATATTGTTTTAAAACTTGGATTCCTAAAGGTCCTACCTGCTGTCACCATCTCACACCCATGTGTCTGGCATTCTGAGTGATATTATTATAAATGGGTGGGTCATTCAGACATGCGTTAATGCGATATTTTTTTTATGCGCTAATGAGAACTGTAATTAACGTGAGTTAACGCGGCAATTTTGGCAGCGCTAATTTAAATATTATTTCTCTGATTTAAAAGGACTTGGGACTGAAAGGACTCAACTAATTGTCAAACGATAGGCTACTTTTGGCATTACGGACAATACGTGGAGTTGCTGCATTACTGTAGA